AATTGTCTCCATCTAATCAACAAACGGCTTATGAAATTAGGTACTGATCAGAAACCCCATCGCGATTGACTTAATCAATCCGAATTATACATATAATATCCATTATATCAAATATTGTAGATTTACTTGAATATTAAATTAAAAGTGTTCTAATACACGTAATACTTTATTAAAACTACTTTATCATTTTACGATTTTTTTATTTTAAGCAGAAAATGGGAAAGGAAGTAATTGATTAACAAAATATGGATTCTGTAGAATAAAAATATACAGAAGACTTTGAAATACACGTTATTATTTCCGAAAATAAATTATTTTCCCGAATTCAATGATGATACAAATACCGAACGAAGCCCATAAAGAACAGTACATAGTAGAGCAGTATATTTATGCGTGCCGTTTTCTATCGATCTGACTCGCGTAAGCTTTTGTTCTCGTAATTAATTACCCTTTCATTTGGTGCACTGTTTTAGCCAACAAACCAGCACCATTTGTCGTTATAATGTGATGTACTAAAACTTATATATTCTAAAAAACCATTTCAGCTATGAGGTACGTACATTTCGACGACACGCTGCGCGCCTCAACAAATCTCTATGTCCAACACGGCGAAGGAACTTTCATCGTATTGGTTCGGAGGAAGCGGTGTCGAATGAAAGAGGAATTGAATCTGAATTCATGCCGCGGGATACAATATGCTTTTTGTAAAGATGGGGGCGCCTCTATCCCGAGAAAAGAATTTTGCAACGAGTTTTACATGCCTGCCTCAAACAGCGTTTGATAAGAAAAAAGGAGATAAAACGGAAAAGGCTGTCTACTAGATATGAACGTACGTTCGCGTACGAATAGACTAGCTTATATTGAAGTCAAATATGTATCAAGACTATATGTATAAGTGTACATATATAGAAATATATATATATATATATATATATGTACGGTTATCGTACATCTCGGTGGGGGAAAGAAGTTAATACTTTTAACATGAAACCATAAAATGTGCATTGTAAAGTGATTTATGTATAATCGATTTTCCATTATTGCGAAATTTGTGTGCACAAAATTTGCAAGTGTATAAAGATAAATGCATAAGGTAATGTATCTTTGTATACTTAGTGAATATCTGGAATAATTAGGAGGATGGAGGTTTGGTCAAACACACTCGTTCGTATTAATCTCCTACCTTCGAAGAAAGTAATCATATCGCCGGAAATATGGAGTAATTAGATAGAAGTTGTTTGGCGAGCGCGACAATGGTGAGGTCTTATCTACTTTTAACAGACATCAATTATCGATTTGTTGTTAGCGTGTAAAGAACTGCAGTTTACCTGCGATTACGATGCTTCAGCGTAATTCAGATTCAAGAAAGCATCGTCGCCCGCGACAAACGTGACGTGTTTATCCGTAAATTCATGCTTTGAAAGATAGTCTTAGAATACGAAATAGGATCTGTGTAAATCTTCGAGTCGTTTTCCAAATGAAATAACCGTGTCACAGGCACGGCATTTTCCAGATGAGCTGTGCCCGGTGATTTACTGCGACTTTAAATTGCGTTACCGGATATAACATAAAGTAATCAACACGCTGTTTTCATATCGTCGTCGTACTATACTTTTCATTGTTTACTTCTTTGTGTAAGCGTAAGATGGCAGAGAGTAATCTAAATAATCCAAGTCTCGTGAACCGAGCCATTCGCAGATAATGTCGAGCCATTTTTCACGTATTCAGTAAGAGTAAATGTTCTTATTGTTCCTTTACGTTTAAATGTTTTATGTTCAAAAACAACGAAATCTTTTGGTGATTATATCTGAAAGGAAAAAGTTGTGCTGGTGAACCAAACGGCTAAGTGGTGATATTAAACTCGCGTCTCGGTTACTTTCTCTCTCTCTCTCTCTCTCCCTCTCTCTCTTTCTTTCAGGTCACTCTTGAGATTACCCTTTTGTGTAAGTAAGGGACAAATGTTGGCCATGTGACGGGGTCTCGGGATGAGAAGGTTCTCCCCGGAGAAGGTTCTTTAACCGCTTAGCACCTCGCGCAACGGACCGCGATCGTTAATTTCGCGACTTCTCCGGCGTGACTCCCTGAACTTTATTAAAGCCAATTAAACCAGCGACAAACTTCGAACGAACAGTTGCGCCGATGGTATGTACCGTAAATGCAAACTCACAATTTGTCGACCTGGTGCACCTAATCTCGCGGGATATCCGTCGTAAATTCCCCGTTCATGATGCACGAAGTCGGTCGATGCTCGCGAAAGTTCGTTAAAGATATATGGGCCATTTACCTCATACTAGTGTTACACGACTTGAAAAGCTTAAGAGGTGAACGTTCTTACTGTTTACGTTTGATTGGAGAGCAGCAATATATTTACGCTTGTTATGCAATAATAAGAATTCGGATTTTTAAGAAGTGTAAGAATGAAATTAGGGAGTATAAAAAGGGAGCAAATGAAAGCTAGAACATGTGAGGTACACGATATGTATACTTCTATACATTAAAAATATATAAATTTAATTGTTTAAGAAGTTAATGATTTCGAAGTAAAACAAAAACAAGAAAGAATTATTAAATAGCAGAATGTTAAACAGCGTAAACTGTTGACATTTCGAACAACAGATGTAAAGATAATAGGAATTCCGTAATAAAATAAAAACAAGAAAGAATTATTAAATAGCAGATCATTAAACAGCGTAAAATGTTGACATTTCGAACAACGGATTTAAAGATAATAGAGATGTAAATAGAGAGTTACAAATTAATTAATTTATATCGAATGAATTGCTGAATGGAAAAATCAGTAGAAGAGGATGAAATAGGTCAGACGGCTCTATGTATGTATGTATATATATATGTGTGTGTGTATGCGCGCGTGCAATAAACGACAAAGAAAAGAGATAGAAGAAATTCTATAAGAAGAAAAATACGTCGATTTAAAATAATTCTATGGGAATTGCGATAGAGAAATCAATAAAGAATCTTGAGGAAAATGGGACAAGTGAACAAAAAGAGAATGAACGATTTCGAGTTATAGAACGGAGATTTCGGAATAAAAGCCAACCATTGTACTACGATGCAGTAGTGCGAATCATACACGATTGTCGAAAACTCGAAACTTCATTCGTAATAAGAATGCAATTCGCAAGCTAGACATGTATAAGATTTCGCACGGATTTCGATTTCGATTTCATGGGTCAAGAAGTTCCGGTACAAGATGTATATGAATAATTCGTACTTTAACCGTTTAAATATGGATACAATATGGTCTGTTTTTTATTCTATATCAATTTTATAATCTTCGTGATTGTAATCTCTATCTTCTTCTCTATAGCTTTATGTCCATTATTATTACCTGCCAATAGAGAATAAACCAGGTCTTTACAAACATTTCTTAAGAAATACCGGAAGATGCATTAAAGCGATTGCCAGTCGGACGACATAAGCGCATTCACCCGCTTGAATATATCCGACCTGGCGTAAAAATCGCCGCTGGCTTGATGCCGGGTCAACGGTGTAAGATATGGAAAGGCGGAAGATACGTGATGAAGAACGCGAAGCCGCCGCGACGTACACGCGGATGACACGAGGAATAAAGAATGCGATAAAAGAACGTGATAGAGCATGGGTGGGCAAAAGAGTTCGGGGTTGAAGGGGGAGAGGAGCGAAAGAAGCGTAAGAAGAGGGATGACGAAGAATAAGACCGACGTACAGAGTCGGTCGGTAGTATAGCTGGGGTGAAACGGCGAATAGCGCCCCGCAGACGAGGGCGGCTAAGAGGTGATGAGGGGGCGAGTGTTCGCGCGAGAGGATACGGTGGCGAGGGGAGAAAGGAGAGGGTAGCCGGTGGATTTTGCGAGAACGCCGCGCGCGGCAGGGGCCGGGGGTGGCGCCGCGGGCCGCGCCGTCGCCCAGCATCCCTCGTTTCCACCCGCCCACCCTCTCTCTTGTAAAGGCGCACCCTCACGCCGAGAGTATCTGCTAGTCATACGCTGGCCCGTTGCGAGTCCGCTGATATAACTGCGCTGCTCTTGCTCCCAGCGAGTTGCGTTTACATTGTATGCGTTCATCGCGATTTATCTCGATCCGATCGAGACGTGCTCGCGAAGAATTCGGTGGCGAATGAGATCTTGTCGATCGGATCTCGCATCTTGTTCGTCGAATTTATTCATCGAAGAACGAACGTGAAAGGCGCGAAAAGCGTGTCGTGTGATCCTCGTGCGATTGTTTCCTGCAATCGAGTACGCATCTCTTTCGTTACCGGCATATCGACACGGTTAAAATAACGGCTATACGTCGTGATATCCGGTGGATGGTTGCTCACATGGCCCATGTTTTGTTTCTGTGACCACCTTGCAACACAACTACGTGGCTCCCTCTCGATCGTTTCCGCTTGCGACAACGAGCTGCCATCGTACCTGAAGCGCGCGTTTCAGCGACCTCGTGTGCGAGATCATCGTTCACCTCTCGCGAAAGGAAGACTCGGGATAGCTCGTGGGACGTTCCGTTAACGTAGGATGTTGGGACAACGGTGGTACCATCAGTGAGATGTCCGATAGACGTAGCGATAGTAGTTGTAGGATCATTGGCGCGATTTCCGAGTCCTTGATCAACGACGTGGCTGTCATCGACAGCGGTAACGCATTAACGTCCGGCGTCTCGAGCGACACTCCTCATTCAGATGAAAGCGTGTGATTGACATTATTCCGAACGGCCAGACCGCTGTAATATCGAGGATTTGCTTCAGATTGCGTTCTCCATTTGCTCTCTCTCTGCCTCCCGCTTCTAAACTTTGACGACCAAGCGGAATATTCGCGGACGGAAGTGCAACGTTATTGACGGCGTTAAACTGACGGCGACAGCGTTTGCCGTTACGTCCAAACGCGATATAAACTGCGTTTAACGGCTTCGTCACGACATTAGAGGACGTCTTAGATGAAGAAAAAAATAGAGTAGGAACGGGACAGATTTGGGACAGATTTTAGAGCGTTTGTCGTTACGTCCAAACGCGATATAAACCGCGTTTAACGGCTTCGTCACGACATTAGAGGACGTCTTAGATGAAGAAAAAAATAGAGTAGGAACGGGACAGATTTGGGACAGATTTTAGACAAAAGCTTGAGATTTTTTACTCCATAAAATATTGCTTTTTACGAGACTGCTCGAGATCTTCGACAAACTTACGGTTATTGAATAGGGAGATGGATACGTTCTTGATTATCGGCATCTGCTTCCTCTGTTATGAAATGTGCGATTTAATAAGACGTTACACCGGCCCGCAGGCAATAGAAACGCATCATCCGGCGGAGACGACCATCAAGGCATCGCCCCCGCAGAAAGTATACTCGATTTCTCGCAAGATTCAAGAGCCTCACGCCTGTTGCCCGCAATAAATCGTGCGTTTGATTCCGCGATTCGAATAATTTTACCTAGAATTGTTTAACATCTGTGTCAGTTCGGGAAATGAGCCGCATTGTGTGAGCTACGCCAGAACGGAAAGGATCTTTGCTAAACCACGAACGGATATAGAATTCCGCCGAATTCAGCTCGAGTAAATGGATGATCACACGAGATGGATTTACAGTTCCGTACAGTGATAACAAACGCTCGTCTCGGAGATTCATGATGTTTACGGAGGTTCGGAGCGGCAACTCGATCGATAATGATTTGTCAGCTGTTACGTCAACTGAAATATAGACCAACGGTCTATCAGTTCTTAGAATGATGAATTCGTAGATGCGATAATCGAAAGTAACAATTCGCAATTTGTATTGATAAACGTGTCACTTTATTCATAAATGTGGCGAGCGAGGCACGCAAAGGCGTTGCTAAGCTGAATCGATAAAGACACAGTGATATGATTCATCGGGCGATTTCCCTCATTAACGAGACGTGTTAGAGTCGAGAGTCGCTGTTGTATTATTCATTATTCGCGATGTATGCGAATGCGCAACCGCTCGATTTGTTTGCGAATACGTAAAAATATCGAGAGCAACGGATTTACTCGAGTGGAATTGGTCGCGAACACGATGCACGTTGCGCATCATGAAAAATAAAATGTGACCCGTCGTTAAGCTTTTGAGACTCAGTAAGTGATATTGATTGAGACATCGTGGCTGATAGCCGGCCTAACGGAGCGAGAGAAAAGCAAACTACTTGCTTGACGAACTTTTTAGTACATGCTTGCGAATGCAAACTTTACGATGTTTAGCGTCGGCGTTAGCGAACGTCAGTACAACCGCACGAAATCGCAACGTATAAACAGAGAGTGAAGTTTCTTTTGCACGCGTCAGCTAAGCCGGCGTTGTCGTGTACACAATACATTGTTTTCCAAAATATAACACGACATCTTGCCCGCATCTCTAACATTCGAAGAAGCAAGAAAGAGAGGAGCGATAACATTGTATATGTTCACTGCCCGTAACTCAATCTTGACGTCTGCGGTCGAAAAGTTTCTATAGATTATAATAGACTTACAACCCGTCGCGGTTGATACAACAGCTATGTTATAACGCAAGAACGTTTCGTCGAGATTGGAAGCGAAAAGGGCCAATATATCTGCAAGTGTATTAAACAAAATTAAATTGCGGAGTGTTATTGCATTTTGCAGTTGTTTATAAAGATCCGACTGACCTGACCTTTAAGGGGCAATCATTATTTGTTAATAAGTTAAATATATTTGAAGTGGCCCGTTTTAGTGAAATGCCTTCCCAGAATTGAAATAGCGCTCACAAACTACTTTTATCTACAACGTCCAGCGAAAAAGATCCAATTATGTCGAATGAAAGCGCCGAATTAATTAAATTGCTACGATATATTCTCTCTGATGTCGTATAATGTTACTCTCGGTGAATATATCAAAACCCTTTTCGATGATTGCGAGTGTGTTTTCTGATCAATTCAAGTGGTAGCTCTCATACCGGAGGATTTAGCGCGACGACGAGAGGCGAAACTCGTTCATCGACGCGACGAAGAAGGGGGAAAAGACCATGACTAATGTTCAATCTCAGCCTCAGAGTTCGATGTTTCGACGCTACGACGTGACCCCTTTTCGGCCGATATTTCGAGAGAGATCGAAACGAGAAAATATAAAAAATTAGAAGACATGGACTCGCTGGAACGTCTAATGAGTTCCCGTTCTCACCATCCGGCTCTCACGGCTGCCACGCGATCACAAAATGCCTTTGTACAGGCCAATCTCTGCTCCGTGATAGGCCGCAAAGGACGACACCTCAACGGCACCTTTTGTTTAACCGGGGATACGATGGAAGGCATCATACAATGCCTGGTTTTCCTCAAAGCTTTCTCGGTAAGGGATCCGTTTCTGTTTCGCTATATTTGTCGTGTCCGGCAATTTTTTATATTAAGCGATAAGGTACTATAAAAGATTTTCTTTCTCTCGATGTGCCTTTCCACTTTTGTGATTTGTGTCAAAAGAATAATACATTATTGGATGCAATGAATCGTGAGCTTTTTATATTAAAAGAACGATTAATTAATGGTAGTTTCATATAGAGATGTATAATCGTGGAATTTAGAATTATGGTTATTCCAGCTATATGCGTATGTGTACGAAATTCTAATTAGATTTTAATTAGAGATTAACTGGGAATAAATAATTGCTCATTTAAAATGGTTTGCAGCGAGACAACGCTACTTGCACTGATTCTGTGGCAATAAGTTATCCCGACAATTAATTCTCGTATGTTATCTTGTTGAACGCGTTTAAGAAACAAGGATTGTCTAATTACATGTCATTTGTCGCGCACTGAGAGAGAGAGAGAGAGAGAGAGAGAGAGAGAGAGAGAGAGAGAGAGAGAGAGAGAGAGAGAGAGAGAGAGAGAGAGAGAGAGAGAGAGAGAGAGAGAGAGAGAGAGAGAGAGAGAGAGAGAGAGAGAGAGAGAGAGAGAGAGAGAGAGAGAGAGAGAGAGAGAGAGAGAGAGAGAGAGAGAGAGAGAGAGAGAGAGAGAGAGAGAGAGAGAGAGAGAGAGAGAGAGAGAGAGAGAGAGAGAGAGAGAGAGAGAGAGAGAGAGAGAGAGAGAGAGAGAGAGAGAGAGAGAGAGAGAGAGAGAGAGAGAGAGAGAGAGAGAGAGAGAGAGAGAGAGAGAGAGAGAGAGAGAGAGAGAGAGAGAGAGAGAGAGAGAGAGAGAGAGAGAGAGAGAGAGAGAGAGAGAGAGAGAGAGAGAGAGAGAGAGAGAGAGAGAGAGAGAGAGAGAGAGAGAGAGAGAGAGAGAGAGAGAGAGAGAGAGAGAGAGAGAGAGAGAGAGAGAGAGAGAGAGAGAGAGAGAGAGAGAGAGAGAGAGAGAGAGAGAGAGAGAGAGAGAGAGAGAGAGAGAGAGAGAGAGAGAGAGAAACAGAGAAAGATTTAGACATCTTTATTACGTGTCACTACTGTTAACTAGCAATTACGATTTATTTAGCTTGTGTTCTTTTACTTGCTACACTTAAAAAATTACTTTCAGCATAATAAATTAAAGTGCTCTTTGTAGTCATTTCATTTCATTTTGCGATTTCTTACGTATGCATTTATGCAAGTGCGTTTACGAGTATATAAAAGCGCGAAAGTATTACGGGAGTTTTTACGATGCGATTTGCCTTATCATTGAGACGATGGGACAATAAGTGGCTAATTATCTTAATAATATACTAAAGAAATTTAATAGACTACGGTTTTCTACGGTTTAAGCGTTTAGTTTATTATTATGCTTCATTATTATATGAAGCAAGTGTGTTGTTATCATATTCCATATATATCCGCGGGACTTTTATAATATATTTTAGATTAATTATTGATTATATTTTGAAAATTTTTATGTTTAAGCAGTAATCACATCAGAAAGTTGTTTTGCTTCAAAGTATACTCCAGTAATGTACTATGAAATATTATTTGCGCGAAGATAGAAGATATGTCGTTCAAAAGACGAACAAGTCAGAGCTTTTATATAATTGATACCTTTTAAAATAACGAGGTGCCTTATATAGCCTTCTCTTCAGAGAAGTAGATGAATAGCAGAGAACATACTGAAGCGAAATCAATAAAGAGAATTTGGCGTGGAGCAAAATTATCTTGGAGTGCCGTTTCCGTCGTAAACTGAAAATTGTGGGAACTAAAAACAGCTTTCAATACGCAAATAGAAACATAATTTGCAATTCAACTTCTATCACGGAAAAGTCAATTCAAACGGAAATTTTTGTGTTTGTATATTAGCAATTATTTATTAGAAAGTTGCAGAAAAATATCGTTATGATCGTAGTTACTGCACGCATGTTTATTTTTTCTAAAATAAAATTCACTATGTATACGCGTTTCTACTATTCTACTACGCGTTATTCAACAATATGTCCCTATATCTTGTTTAGTTTTTTTACATGTTTGAAAAAGTTTATTACCGTAATGAGAAAGAAAATGTAAAACCAGATAATAAGCGAAAATATTACGCAAACATTAAAAATTCTGATATTATAAAATATGCATATATATTATCTTAAAAAATGTAATTAAAAATAGATAATACTATAAAGAATTATAAATAAATCATAGCACATTTATTAAAATAGTTTAAAGTTATCAGCATGAAGATAATTTATGCTTTACGTTGAAAGATTGATCGATTAAACTTCAAATATTCGTGAAAGATGCCTCGTGAAATACGTGTTTTCTTTTTATGATTGGATCGCTGATAGACACTTTATAGAAAGTTTCGGTCAAAAGTTATTTATATTCAGGTCCATGTTGCTGATCGCTAACCGACGTTATAAATTTTACAGTCAATATTACAAGTCGACGTTAAAATGGGAGGCGATTTTCGTCGAATCGATCTCAACATCGCCTTTCTGCTGCGTAAGATTTTCACCTCAAAAGCAAGTATTGAAAGACGAGCATGCACTTTCTTGAAGCAATAAAGCCTCGATGTTGTTTTTGACTTGCACGCCGATACCCGGAGCAAAAAGCTCGAGAGTAGCGTCTCGAGAGAAATTTAAACTCGGAATTGCGAAAGAAATTGAGCTTCCCTTTGACCAAACTCTCCGCTGAATTGGCGCATAGTCGAGTCTACGGAACGTCGTTCTGCTTAGTATCGTCTCATCAATCACGACCTAATTTAATTTACTAGTGCGTCCATCTGCCTCGTTAAAGCTTGTGCGTGCTAGTGCCTTTGATCGGTCGCAGAAATTAAATAACATAAATAACGTCAATCAAAGTAACCCAATCAAACTCGCGCCAATCATCGATGTATCAGACATTTTTATTTACACATGAAGATATATATATATATATATATATATATATATATATTTTGTATGGTCGAAAAATAAGTTTTATTGTAATTTAACTCATTACTCATCTCTTTCTAAATTTAATTTCAGAAGGAGGTGAAGAATAAGTTAAACGAAAATTAAATGACGTTGCTGAAACGAGGCTTTGGTAAATTTTCGATA